GATATTCATAAGTCTTTTGGAGGTGTCATAGTACAGTGAATATGGGTAATGGCTGCATAGCGTTAAGAGATATTTTAGAACTGATTAGCAAACCCAAAAGGTTCAATGTACAAGGATTAATGTGTGCATGTGTGTTTGTAAATGGGTGATTGTGTGTGTGTTTGTATATGGGTGATTGTGTATGTGTTTGTATATGGGTGATTGCGCGTGTGTTTGTGTGTGCGCGCGCTCGCGAGTAGTAATATTTTTAGTGTTTTCTGCTTTGTTGGAATGTGGAGGATAATGTGACGCCAAGAAAAATCATATATATATATATATATATATATATATATATATATATATATATATATATATATATATATATCGGTCGGGTTTCGATCCCGGCTTGATGCAATCGAACATTTAGCCATACTGAGGAGCTGAGATACAGCGAAACATTCACTCTGTGGATGACTATATATATATATATATATATATATATATATATATATATATATATATATATATATATATATATATGAAGAAGAGAAGAGAGGTGCCGCTAACGTTTTTTGGTTGTAATGTGGATTTATTTAGAAAAAATATTATGCTTTGTTTTACATAATTTTACGACACGTGTTTCTGGTCTCAAGGACCGTCTTCAGGTAAAAGTGGAGATTTCTACATATTATTAAAAATAATTAATTTTTCTTCATGTTCAATGTGAAATATTCTCGATATGAGACATTCTCTGTTTGTGTGTTGGTAATCCGAATTTCTTTCTAGAATTGTCTAGAATTCTAGAAAGAAATCAACATCATCAAATTTTTGCATTGAATAATTAGCATAAAAACAAACATACAATAAAATAATTTTTATAATCCATAGTTTAAATACCCTACAAAAAAAGATAACCCTTTAAGAAGTCGTCAAAAAACAAATGTTACGGCAGTTTTTTTTATATACACAAAACCCTTTCAGAAATAAATAAAATAAAATAAATAAATAAATCTCAATAGACACGTAAACCAGACTAGGCGAAAACATCTTCCGTTTTAAATTTAGATACCCCCACCTTACCCTGACTTGACATCTATGAATGTAACTCTATAATGATACAAATTATTAACACCCAACACCCTTTCCTATTTAAACAATCGCTCTGGCTGTTACCATAGAAATTTTGATTCCAATAATGAATATGCTATTAAAACGCGTAAATTCCAGAAATACGTTATTCCAAAAAAAAATTTCGCTCGAAGATGAAACAGAGCTTACTTTAATTAAATTTAATTCAAATAATTATTTTGAAGTTTTCGGCTCTTGTTTTGAAACATGAGACCTCTTATGTAGCGTGTTGGAATCATATTTTTAAATAAATAATTATATATATATATATATATATATATATATATATATATATATTGGTAAATTTTCGTCATCTTATATTTTCCTGCATGCGCGTTGTTCCTTGTGAGAAAAAGTGCACCAGGACGCCATTTTACTGCGCCAGAAATTTAGAAACGGCATGCTTTACTGCTTGGCCTTTATGCCGGAAACTAAATATAGGAAAATTTCAGAATGTTTGGCTGTCAGTCTGAGGACATTAAACATGATTCCGAAAGAGTTGGATGATTCTAATGGTGATTACGAAAGTAAGGCAGCTCAGAAAACTCACTCTGATCGTTCTGATAAGAACTCCCGAATTTGTTGGTGAGCTTCTCAGAATCAACACAGAGGCCTAAATCGTACCTTGTGGAGGTAGCGCTATCCTAGGGCAAGAGGGTGGCGACTTGAAAACCCTGTCAGACAACAGAGCTTTGCACCATGCCACACAAGCAAGAGAACCCAGTTATTGCTGTCAGACAATTTATGCGACCACATCAACTGTTACATCTGGCCACCTAAATTCATAGACTGCAACCCACTTGATTATTAAATGTGGGGCAGAGTTGAACGATTGACCAATAAAACTCCTTGTAACACCAAAGATGAACTGAAGGCAAAGATTATGGCAGCATTAACCAGCTTAAATAAGGAGACTGTCTAGAAGAGTTGCAGGAGAGTCCGAAGTCTTCTGGAGACCGTGGTTGAAGCCAATGGGCACAGTATTGAACAAATTCACTCTTTAGTATTTCAGGATGATATATTTGTGTAATTGTTGTAAATATATCTGTTAAAATGAGATGTCGGCTCTATTGCCTCATGTTTGCCTCATACAGACGACAATTTATCCATCGCACCCTGTATATGATCGAAGGTGTTTTCAAATGTACACACAGACATGTATATACAAACAACGCAAATATACTTATATTACATCGTTATCCTGCTCCTGCTAAGAGTCATATATGTACCACCTTGTGAGAATCGAACTCCCAATTTTGAAATTCTAATAGTTAGGATCTACAGCAAGACTGCGAGTCATTATAACACGGCGAAGCGCCCAAATTATTCCAAGATGTGAACAATCATGGCTCTCCACAATTTCTTTTCCCTTATTTACTGCGACTAAAACAAGCCATATTACTAAACACCCAGTGAGAATATCATGCTCACTATATGGGTCTACCGTCTTGAGTGTAGGGCTTGTTAATTATTCAGATATATTTGTCGTCGTCGTTGGCGGAATTCGTTGCAGAGTATCGACCTGCTCATAGGCATTTCATTCTTTGGGAAATGAGTCTTATGTTGGATCTGAAGAGAAGTCTGCAGCCACCGTATGGAAGGTAGGTAGGATTCAGGGGATGGCGGGCTCTGGCTTTTCTTTGGGCTCTTTTTCTCTCTTCAATTTGTCTGGGTTTTTTTTTTCGAAGAATGTTGTTTTTTTCGTGGACTGCTCTTCTCCAATTGGTTATGTCTCCTCCACTGTATGCGAGATATAATTGCACATACATGTATTACCGTTCATTAGTGAGGTCTGGCACACAGCAGCAATGAGAGGTACCCTTACTGATTATCGTACTCACTAAAATAGGGAAAGAGGATCTTAACAGAGTTGACACCATATAAAAGAGTATATGGTTACTTTAAGAGTATTTAAAGAGTATATGATTATTTTAAGAGTATATGTTTATTTAAAAACAATCTCATGTTAGTTTTGTTTTATACTAAAGTGTGCATAATACCTCATCTCAGAAATATAGACATATGCTGAAGAAGCACGGAGTCTAAAACGACCGAAAGTTTGTAATAAATATGGCGACAAAGATGAGGACAATAGTCCGAATAATGTAAATAGTGTACATTATACCTCATCTCAGAACTATAGACAGATACTGAAGAAGGCCGGAGCCTACCACGGCCGAAACTTTGTAATAAATATGGCGACAAAGATGGGGGAAATAGTCCGAATAATGTAAATAATGTACATAATATCTCATCTCAGAAATATAGACAGATACTGAAGAAGGCCGGAGCCTACCACGGCCGAAACTTTGTAATAAATATGGCGACAAAGATGGGGGGAAATAGTCCGAATAATGTAAATAATGTACATAATATCTCATCTCAGAAATATAGACAGATACTGAAGAAGGCCGGAGCCTACCACGGCCCGAAACTTTGTAATAAATATGGCGACAAAGATGGGGAAATAGTCCGAATAATGTAAATAATGTACATAATATCTCATCTCAGAAATATAGACAGATACTGAAGAAGGCCGGAGCCTACCACGGCCGAAACTTTGTAATAAATATGGCGACAAAGATGGGGAAATAGTCCGAATAATGTAAATAATGTACATAATATCTCATCTCAGAAATATAGACAGATACTGAAGAAGGCCGGAGCCTACCACGGCCGAAACTTTGTAATAAATATGGCGACAAAGATGGGAAATAGTCCGAATAATGTAAATAATGTACATAATATCTCATCTCAGAAATATAGACAGATACTGAAGAAGGCCGGAGCCTACCACGGCCGAAACTTTGTAATAAATATGGCGACAAAGATGGGGGAAATAGTCCGAATAATGTAAATAATGTACATAATATCTCATCTCAGAAATATAGACAGATACTGAAGAAGGCCGGAGCCTACCACGGCCGAAACTTTGTAATAAATATGTCGACAAAGATGAGGACAATAGTCCGAATAATGTAAATATTGTACATAATACCTCATCTCAGATATATAAACAGACGCTGTAGGAATTTGTTCTACTAAAGTTCTTCGGAAAACTGGCTTTTTCGAACTTCCTCGTTGCAATTATAATACGGAGGAAATGGGAATTATTCAGCTCTGTGTTTGTAGCGTTACATGTCCTAGCGGTTAAGGTCAGAACTTGTAGAAAGCAATGGCAGTAGCGATAGGGTAGCATTACGCTTGTAGTTTTTTTTTTTTTATAAATCTCCTCTCACAAACTGTATAAACGATTTTAAACCCTACAAAACCTGGGAAATGGACATTGAGGTTTTCCTTCCCAAATATGAGTTCAATACTTCATTTAAGAGCATTTACTTAAATATCTGTATCGATAAAAAGAATGTATAAACATAAAATGTCTTAAAATAACTGTCGTACTTTTGTTCATTTCATATATATATATATATATATATATATATATATATATATATATATATATATATATATATATATATATTTCAGTGATGGCGAACCTATATTCCTTGGTCTTTGATGTGCTGAAAAGTTACACGCTAGCTTTTTTCTCCGTTGTGCTGTTCGATCTTGATCAAAAGAAAGATCAGCTCGAAGGCTCCGATCATTTTTATTTAAGAAGTACGTCCATGAAATGTGGTGTCTTCTACATAGATGTTCACTAATGATCTGAAAATGTTCCTAGGGGGGATTGTTAGGAAAATAACTAATGAAATAGTCTGCATTATATTAGCACTCAGTAAGAATAAAACTCACTAAGATAAAAACTAGGTAGACATGCTCATCTTACTAACCAATGCGCTAGAACATGCGCCATACAAAAGCGCATGCGCATGTACATCCACACGTACGTTTACAAGTCATGACGGGGAAAAATCACATAAAGGCAACTCGAAATGAGACACATCCCAATTTTCAACTGCCTCCTTTACATGAAGTCCAAATCTGACAGTCTCTCACGCATGCGCCAGCAATCATGTGACTTGTGCGTCTGTTAATTCAGTCGGATTTACCACTGTTTCCCCTTCCCGTCCTCTTGTTAAAACCAGGGATTTCTGATCGTTACCACATACCGATCGCCCCTAATCAAAATTCCCGGAGAATTAATCCAATTTAGATTCAATCAGTGTCGTCCCCTCACTTTACCAGCCAACCAGATAGCAACTAAGTTGCACTTTAGCGAAAGTTTCATGATTCCACCGCATTAAATGTAGATCTCTTGGCTTGCCACATTGGACTCTCTTTCTCTTTCGTATGGAATCTTTCTTGGACTTTTCTAACCTTTTCCTACATCCACCCTTCGTTTCTTAGCCATTTTTCTGTCTTTGCTTTATTGTTTATTTCTGTTGTCTTTTTTTTTATAATCTTTCAGTTGATTTTTTTCTGTTTCCTTTTTTATACGATTAACGAACGTTGTCCTTCTTTGCGATTACTTTTTCCTTTCATTCTTTTTATGTTTACATCTTTTTTTTCCTTCTTTACAATTAGTTTCTTTTCTTTTTTATACGATTATCTTTTTTTTTCTTCTTTACAATTATTCCTTTTTTTATTCTTTCTTTACTTATACACTTTTTCTAATCCTTATTTATGATTATTACTTTGTTTCTTTTCCTTCTTTACGACTAATCTCTTTTTCCTTCTTTAATATTACTCTTTTTCCTTCTTTACAACTACTCCTCTTTCTTTTCCTTTCTTTTGTTTACTCCTTTTTTTTCATTTTTCTTCTTTACAATCTTTCCTTTGTTTTTCCTTCTTTAATCTTATCCTTTTCTTTTCCTTCTTTTCCATTACTTTTTTTTTTCGTTTTTCATTTTCATAATTACTCTTTTTCTTTTCTTCATTTAAGAGTACACCTTTTTTATTTTCATTCTTTTCAATTGCCACATTTTCCTTCTTTAGAATCAATTCTTTTGTTTGGGTTTATTCTTTTTTTCTTTCGATCATTCATTTTTTTCTTTCACAAATTCATTTTCTTCTTTCGCTCATTCATTTTTTTCTTTCTCAAATTCATTTTCTTCTTTCGATCATTCATTTTTTCTTTCTCAAATTCATTTTTTTCGATAATTCATTTTTTCTTTCCCAAATTCATTTTCTTTTTTCGATCATTCAATTTTTCTGTCTCAAATTCATTTTCTTCTTTTGATCATTCATTTTTTTCTTTCGATCATTCGTTTTCTTCTTTCGATCATTCATTTTTTCTTTCCCAAATTCATTTTCTTCTTTCGATCATTTATTTTTTCTTTCCCAAATTCATTTTTTCTTTCTCAATTTCATGTTTTTCTTTAGATCATTCTTCTTGATATCATTGCTTTCTCTTTCTTCACTAATTTGTTTTTTTTTCTATATTCTGTGCATAGATATTTCCATTCCTTTCTTTCCGTTTATTCGTTTATTCTCATTTTCTTTTCTGCTTATCTTTCGTTGTCTTTATTCCGTTATTTTTTCCACACGTATCTCTCACGTGGCCTATTTCTTCTTTATCTTGTTTTTCATTCATTTATTCATTCATTCTTTCTTTCCTTTCGTTGATTTTATTGGTGGCCATAATCGTAACAACATAAGATACGCAGATGACACACTGGTGATAGCAGACACGGAAAGAGAATTACAAAAACCTCTTACAGAAGGTAGCGAAGGAGAGCGAGAAGAAAGGACTAAGCATAAACTGCAAGAAGACAGATTGCATGGTCATCAGTAAAAGGATCAGATTAAAATGCGATTTACAGGTCGGGGACACTAAAATCAAGCCGATACAGAAATTTGCATACCTGGGAAATGAGAGAGGACGGAAACTGCGACTCTAAGATCCGAAGACGTGTTAAGATGGCCAAAGACGCATTCCAAAAGCTAGTCATAGTATTACGAGACAGGAGGATTTCGTTGGTGAAAAAGAAAAGAGTACTATTTGGTATCTGTCCTCCTTTACGGCAGTGAATGTTGGACGGTCCCCTCAAAAACGAAAAAGTGACTCGAGGCAACGGAGGTATAGTTCTACAGAAGGATGCTAAGGATATCATGGACCGAGCGTGTGAGCAAAATGAGGTTTTGGAGAGATGGAAATCAAGGAGGAATCTTATACTTAACATCAGGAAGAGGCAGACGAAATTTCTGGAACACATAATGAAAAAGGAGTACTGGAAGAATTTTATACTCACAGGACGGAAAGGGAAAGAGAGACTAGGGAAAGCAACGCATGGCATGCCTCCGGACTTAAGCAAGTGGACGACAGAACACTGTCTGGGAGAAGTAGCAAAGGAACGAAACTTATTGAGAGCTACAAGGGATAGGGGGAAGTGGAGAGCCATGATCGCCTACGCCCTGAAGGGAGACGGCATATAAAAGAAGAAGTTACAATTTAGTCCATTCGTTTTTCTGTATATCCTAAATTTTTCTTTCAATTTTTCCTTCATTATTTTTCTTTTTTTATTCACATTTTTCTATTTTTCTTTCTATTTCTTATTCATTCGGCCATTCTTTCATTCTGTTATTCATTCTGTTTTATTATTTTTAACTTTCTTTCATTATTCTCTTTTTATCTTTTCCCCTTTTATCATTCATCTCTTTCTTTCTTTCCTTCATATACGTTCTTTCTTATAGTCACTCATTTCAATCTTTCAATATTGTTTTCATTATCTTGATTATTTCTTTCAATATGTTTGGTCCTCTTCTTTTCCTTTTTCTTCTTCCCTTTATTTCTTTCATTCTTGCACTCATTCGTTCCGTTTTTGCATTAACTTCTTTTTCACATTTTTTTCATTCTTTACTTGTTTTGTTTTTTCATATTTTTTTTTATTTTTTTCGTCTCTGTATTATTTGTTTTTCTTTCATTAAATAATTTTATTTTAATTAGTTTTCCGTCATTATTTTTATTAAATATTCTATTTTTCTTCATTATTTTTCATTTCAGGACCAACGATGTGCGATACTATTTGTCGTTGCCTCGGTAAAACGGAAGAAAGTTTTGTTAAGCCATAAAAAAGTTTTATGTGCCGAGATACATTGAAACGAGAAGGGTTAATACCAAAAACCCGTAGGAAGAATTGAGGATTTAATTCGCACATAAACGACTTGAATTGAATATTTGAACAAAGGAAGAGTGATCCAGGGTTATGGAGCAATATTGATTGACACACAGCTGCAAATACAAGCTCTAAAGCGGAAACTTCAGTTTCGTAAACAACGAATTTAGAGTTGATTCTTTTGGTTGAATGTTAATTTGAGACAATGGTTTGGATAAGCCATCCACGACCACTGAGGAGGTTTAGTGAGAGATCCTGAAATGAGAGATTGGGAGAAAGGAATTATGTCAATAAATACGCGCATTCGCCAGTAGGAGACGAGTCGAAGCAGGAGAGACAGAGGTAGAAGAGAAGAGAAGAGAAGAGAAGCCTCCGATTTCAGCCTTGTGCCAAACTTTGCCAATAACAGCAAATCAGATTTTTTCCCAGGTCGACGACCGTATCACTTCCGATTTAGACGCGGGTTGGGCTGATAATTAATTGAATGCGAACTCTGATATAAAAAAAATTATTGTGCGAAGAAATGATATAAAAACAGTATTCACTATAGTCCAATTTATTCGAGTGTTATTTTTTTCCTGTACGTCATCACCGTGCATGAACCAGTCCAATACGAAGATACCTGTGTCGATTCGATCTTAGCTGCATTATGATCAAACAAACGACAACGTGGGATAAGATTTGCTCGGGATTGAAGCAGTCACTTCAGCGACGAGCCGTCTATTGAATATTGATGCCATATCTGGTCTAGTGCGCCTCTTTTATATCTGAAGTTTCTTGTCAGAATTCGAACAAAGTTGTATAATTTAACCACTCCTCACCAGGCATATCGATGTGACATGGGTTCTGGTTGTCTTTTTATTTTCTACAAATATTTCCATAGTAACTGATCTGATGAGATTTTTCTTAGTGCCTTGACTTCATGGATTTAACCATGCGACAATATTGGCTGTTAGGTCTCACTGTTTTCTGATCTATTCTATTTTTTCTCACACTGCTCGGTTGTGGAAATCCCATCTATGTTCATGTTTCTATGCTACTTACAATCTTCAAAACATTAAATGCAACGTCAATCGCCATTTTCTCTCCCCCCTGAATCCTGTTCCTTTATTGTTCTTTCTTCTCTTCTCCTCACTAAAATCTTCTCATTCTCTATCACTCCCTGTAACCCCCTGCGCCCCTGTGGAATTATCGTCTTGATTGTTGGCGGGAGGGAACGATGAGACAAAAAAACATGTCTTCCTGTTCTTCTTCATTTTTTCTTCCTTTTCATTCTCTTATTAATTCATTCTTCCTTTATTCGCTTTTCTTCTTCGTATTTTATTCTTTTCTTTTCTTTTATTAATTTTTTCCGATTTTCTCTATCGTTCGCTTTTTTTCTACTTCTATAATAGTTGATTTATTATTTATTTCTTTTTTTAATTTTTATTTTATTTATTTCTTTATCTTCTATTCTTTGACGCATCTTTTTTACACGTTCTATTCATTCTTTAATTAATTCTGTGTTAACTCTTTTATCTTAATTATATTCTTTTATTTCATTCTGATCGTCCTTTCTTCCTTCCCTTAATCTTCTTTCAAACTTTCTCTTCTTCTCATCAATTTAATTACGCTTTCCATTTATTCTTTTTTCTTGTGCCAATAATCCAAGTAGATATCGTCAGACTGCCTGTATCTGTTGGTAACCAACACACAATAATCTGACTTTTTTACTAGTGTTCAAACATGGCCTCTGTGAATGGCACAGCGAACTTAAGCTACATAGGAGTCCGTTTAGCTGCTATAAAAAATTAGTATCCGAAGTCTTTATGCTTTACCTAGATTTGAACTCGGACCCCTGTTGTCGATAATATATAACTATTTTAGCCACAGGTAGAGCTTTTTTCCCGTTCCCATTTCTTCATTTTGTTGCATTCATTTTGTTTTTTCTGTTGCTAGTTTTTCTTTTTTTACATGTTTCTTTCTTTTTTCTTTTTTCTTTTTTTATATATTTATTTATTAATAGATTTTTCTAGCATGTTCGATCTTTAGTCCTTGTTTTAAGTGTCTCTTTCATTTTCGTTCTTTCTTTCTTCCTGTCTTTCTATCGTTCTTTCCTTCTTCCTATGGATTTCTTAATACTTCCTTCCTTCCTTCCTTCCTTCCTTCCTTCCTTCCTTCCTTTTCTCCGTTCTTTCTTTCAAATTTTATTCGCTATCTTAACTGTCAATTTTTTCTTTGTTTGTTTCTTTTTTTTTCTTTCTGTTATAGTGTAGTTTCACAGTGGAGGCTTGTAATTCCTTAAGTCAATCCTAAAATGGTTCGACGTACAAAACGTTAGGAACTTGTTATAAGAGTTAATGACGCAGCAATCTAGTTGTGGTGGTTGATACTTTAATGTCCGACATCGACTGACTCACCAACACACTCAGCTCACTATAATCTTCAAATATTCAAATGTAATGTCAATGGACATCTTCTGATGATTCTGATCCCCCTCCTTGTCTATATCCTTTCCTCAAACACTGTCTTTCCTCTTGCTCTCACTCTCTGTAACCCCTTAAGTGCTAGTGGCACTGGCACCTTTCTTGGGATGAAATGCTTTAAAAAAAAAGAGAAGAAAAAAGATAGCTATAATTTTCAAATAATCAAATGTAATGCCAATCATCATCTTCTGATGCCTTGATCCTGATCCCCGTCCATCTCCATATCCTTTCCTCGAACACTTTACTCTTGCTCACACTCTCTGTAATCTCTTGCCTGCTAGTGGCACTTCCGACCTGTTCGGAGCGAAATGCGTAAAAACAAAGAAATTTTCTTATCGTGATTTTTTTGTTTCTTTCCCTTTTTATTCGATTTCGTTAGTTTTCATGATCCCTTTCTTTAGTCATTCTTTCTTTCTATGGTTATTCGTCTTTCTTATTGTATCTTTATTTTAGTTTCATTCCTTTTAACTTGCTTAGGTTTATTCGCCCTTTTTAATATCTCTATCTTCTTCGAAATGCGTAACTATGACAAGCGTAGGATGTACAATTGCTAAGTCGAACTCCGGCCGAGTATATTACGTTCACATTCGCTCTATTCATCTGGGTAAAGGTATGAGCCAATATTTTCACACTACCACAAGAGATTGGTTAAATAGTAGGGTAAACTGGACGCATAGCCCTGGATGGTAGTGTGTCTACAAGGAGGAAAACCCTTCTAAAAGAAGGCAACAAGTAATCACTCCACTATCGTTTCTAAAAGTCATGGCCTTTCACAGACATTAAAGAAAAAACACTAAAGGTTTTATTTTCCTTCTTTCATTTTTTATACTCAGCGTCCTTTTTTTTTCTTTCTGTCTTTCTTAAAACATTTCTTACACTCTCTTCAGTTTTTTTTTTCGCTTTTGCATGTTTCTTTCTTGTTTTGATTCTTTCTTTCTTTCTTTTTCGCTTCCTGTTTTTCCTTTCTTGTTTTTCATTATTCTTCACCTTTATCTCATGACCTCTTTGATTTCCTCAACGAATCCTTCCCCACATTTCCAATTCCTCTACTGACCACTCACCTTGTCTTCTTCAAGGACCATGCTTTTCGACGAAGTCCCGTTCTTGTATTCTTTTCTCATTTACCTGAAATCCAAACCGCACGCTGGAATGTTAATCAAATGAAGAATGCGAGACAGCTTCCATCAGGCTAATTAACAAAATCCCACGAACGAAACTGGTGACAGTCCTCATTTAGCCTGTGTCTAAATAAACGAAGCTAACTTATGAGACTGCTTAGGGATAATTTTGGAGGAGATGATTATGAGCGTGATCCTACTATGGCTTGATGAGAAGAGCCAGTGACCAGATATGAATACAGCCTCTTTGTGAATATGTTTATGGACGACCGGGATGAAGACATTTTTTTCAACTGTTTTAAAGAATTTGGACTTGAACTAACTTTACACGGAAAAAATGAAGGTAAATGAAACAAAATATATCGACTAAGGTACGTAATATGCTTGGTTGACGTTCAGTTCGTTCGGGTTGTCACTTATCAGCACAAATATACGAGCTACTGATAGATGACTGTATAGCGCCAATATACAAAACGTGATTTTCCGTGTGCCTTTCATGCGGTGAGTCGAGTTTTAATTTCGTTCAGTGCCACTGCTTACACATTTGGAAAAATGCATTTCGGAAACATATGACTTCGTCGTTTCTATAGCATCAGCTACGGGTTAAAGAAAAGGAAAGACATAGTGGCAACGAGTTTAGCCTGATATGTAGACAGATTAACTTTGGGGATAGCCAGTTTAGCCTTGAGGATAGCCACTCTACCATTTGGGGATAGCCAGTATAGCTTAGGGGATACCAGGTCTAGTTTTAGGGATAACCAGTCTAGCCTTGAGGATAGCTAGTTTAGCCTTGGGGAGATCCAGTCTACTATTTGTGGCTACAAGTCTAGCCTTAGGTGTATCCATTCTAACCTTGTGGATAGCTAGTATAGCCTCGGTAGTATTCTTCCTAGCCTTAGAGTTAACCAGTCTAACCTTGAAGATAGCTAGTCTAGTATTGGGATAGCCAGTATAGCCTTATGGGTAGCCAGTCTAACCTTGGGGATATCAATTGT